ACCTATATGTGTCACTATTAATCTTCGCCCTTTACCTGAAGGTGCCTTGAACCCTGTTGAAAGTCCATCCAAAAATGCTTGTCGAAAACTTTTTACATTTTTATCTTGCCATACTTTTGTTACAGTATATCCCTCGTTGACCCAAGTTTCGTCTAGATAATAAATATTCCTCCCTTCGTCACGGAATTTTCTAATTGATCTTAAGTAGGATCTTCGCCAACAAATAATTTCATCTTTATCGATAAGAACTGACTTCCTGTTCTGCTTTTCCCAGCAAAAATTCAACTCTCGTAAGACGGCCCATAATTTGCTTCTACTGATTTTTGGCAAATCGTTGTCCTCTGAAAGTTCACTTAAAATTTTGTTTAGCGTTGGTATTTCTTTTTTAAAATAAAATGAGTGTACTTTTCTGCGAATGACATTTTTGAAGAAATCATCTATAACGACTTTTGACCTCCCCGTAGATGATTTTGGGGGATTTACAGTATCTTGTTCATTTTTTGTTTCCTTTAAAAGTCTGTAGATAGTCGATTATCCAATCCCTGTCATTTTTGTTAATATGAGTGTTACCCGATAATTACCTGAAACGAAATATTACCCGCCCATGGCCGGTTCTTATCTCGGGGTTTTATTACTCTCTTTCATTTCCGAACAGACTATAGCAACGTAGTGTATTAAATCCCATGATACAAATACTAAGAGATTATTTTCCCGTGGACTAAATTTGGTTGGCTTGGCGTATGACGTCACGTGGAGAGTGATTTAAGTAGTTCATTGATAAAGTGTATACTAATATTTTATGGTTACGTGTCTAATAAATATAGAATGGTTGTAATATGAAAATAATTACATACCCTTAATTATACAAACTAAATGTATTACTTAAAATTATGTTAATAATCATTACATTCAAAAGTTTTATATCGTTCAGTCAAAGGTACATTCAATATACGAAATCCAAGCTATAGAGATAAGTTAGCATTACTGACATTGCTCGGCAATCCACAATATTCACAAATCGCTATTTAATCTCCACATGACGCCATGACATGGCTGCGAGTATGCCCAATATCATCTCTTTTAAGTTTTTGTATCAGGATTAAACCCTGTACAATTCGATTTATAAGCAAAAATGATCTAGTGTTGTAACTCAAGATTGGCTCCTTCCATTCCTATTTTACACCAAATTTCTGGCATTTTGAAACTTCAGAAAATATTTGGGGTTGTTGTCGTATTAGCCATTACGAAAAACAATAGCGATGGCAGGTATTTTTAAAGCCAAAAGTAGAATTATCTTTCGGTTTTAAACCCAAAGCACTCTCAGCATCCAAGAACGATATATTTACACAGGGTGATTCACAACTTATCCAAAAAAATTTGGGAATAGATGCAGCATGAGAAATGGAGTCATTATCATAAAAAAAATTTTTGTAAAATCTTTATAGTTTCCGAGAAAAAAAATTATTGAAGTTATAGTACATTCAACCACTACATAGCTAGACAACTGTAGTCTCTAGTGTCATTCGCAATACACGTGGGGAGACACGTGGCCTCAGCGACTCCGAAAAGGAAAAATTCAATAACGAATTAAATTTAAACTGAGAATTACTTCTGTTCTGTTCTGTGCATCCCGTGATGCTTCCCAGTCCGCGGAATATATGTGTGCCACCGAATCTGGATTTGCGGGGGATGGCGGGGGTGGCGATATTGTGAAATTAGGCGTGTGAGTGGCGGTGACGGCCGCACAAAGACCCAATTACCCGCTCCGTCGCCGGCAGCTCGTCGTCATTGTTGCGTCACACCCACAAACAAACGAACAATGCCGGTCAAATTGCCGGTTTCGGTGGTTGTCCCGACGACTCGCGGCGGCGGTGAGGACGGGGGGTGGTCGCGGTGGGTGTAATCGAAACAAATAAATGCCTAAACGGATCTGTTTGCAAAAATGTTGGTGGCTTAGGCGCTGTTGTTGAGATTGTTTTGCCGCAAATCTGTGGATTAATATCTGAGAAGCACATGATTAATGTCGGTATTAAAATTTTTAATAATTCTGTAAAATTGTAATATTAGAGTGGGGGAAACTCGACTTGTAACACAGAAAATATGTTGTTAAGAAATTACGTAAAATTGAAAACACGTCGAAGTTCAGGGAGAGTTTAGGCAAGGTTAAATCGTTATATTTACTGTTTTCTGGAGTGAAATCTCGAGGTGTATCACTTTAATATACGGTTCTTACGATTATTTTTGAGATAGAATTCCAAGAAGACCCCTGCACCACTTTCTTGGAATTAACCGCATTCAACACCCGAGGTAGAAAGACACTGGCGGTGTGGCGTGTTTTGCAGTTACGAAGGTGTGTTTCCTCGTCCTGTGCATTTTCAGTGTAATTTCATATTAAAATAAATCAATGGAGGTGAAAATAAAGAAAGGAATTAAATTCCTAATCTACTTTATATATAAGGTGGTTCAGAACTTATCTAAAAAAAATTGTTTTAATGTACAGGTTACACTTAAAAATATAATTTTGTAAAAAAAATCAGAAAGGGCAGTTCTAAAATGATTTAAAGATACACTTTTGCACGGCATTGGAAACTGGTCGACTGTAAAACCAAGGCAAAGCATCCAGTCCACGACCGGCACCGCGGCAAAGTGAATAAAAATATAAATGGAGAAAAAATTGAAAAAATGTCTCCCAAGGAAATAAATAAATAAAATTTTATAACACCTATTTTCTATCAGCAAATTCAACTGCTTTTGTCGCTATTGTTATTATTAATTAATAAAATTATTGTGTGGTTTTAATAAATTAAAAAATTTGACTTGATGTTACAACTCTTCAAAATTTTGTCCACCAACGTATTTGGGCCATTTTACCCAGTTCCTACGAACTAACACAAATGTTGTGTTGCTCCACCATGAATTAATACGATATCCATCAACTCCGAGTTGCTATACACGTAATCCATTTTTGACACTTGAAAAACTAATGTAAACACTATCAGAAAAACGTTAATACCAAAATCGGATTTCAGTATTCGAAATCGCCTGGGGCTACGTGGAGAGAGAGCACACAACGCGGATAGAAGCATTTGGAAGACCCTATAGATAGACTGTAGTAGCTCAGCGATGTAAATAAAGATAGAAAATACTATAACTTCAATATTTTTTTTTTCTCGGAAACTATAAGATTTTCAAACATTTTTTTTACAGTATTGTCTTTTCATGACGCATCTATTCACAAATTTTTTTGGAGAAGTTGTGAATCATCCTGTATATTTACCTTATATACAGTGTGCCCCGTTTTTCATGTTGACACCTCTGGAAATGTGAGAAGGCTGTGGACTTTCCGCAAGCCAATTTTTTTACAAATAGTACGCCGGAGGAAGGTTATATTCTAATAATCATTTTATTGAAGTAACAAAAGCCTGGCCTACTACGATTTTTTAAAAGGGTCGTTTTTCCAGAAAGTAGTATTAGGCATTTTTTTATCAAAAAGATAATTTTACTAGGCTATTCAATTCAACACCCATCAAAATACCCACATACCAAATTTGAACGTCTATTGAGTGTTTTTTTTATATGGCGTCAAACTTCGAAAAATCAGACAAATAAAAATTATAATAAGCAGGTTTGCCATGAAAGTGAAAACAAGTACGAATCGGACAAAAAAAAAATACAGACATTATAAATGTAATACTTTTAATTGCGGCCATAATAAAAATAATAATTAACGTACAAAAAATGTAGATAATGAATTATAAATATTAAGTTAAACAAAAAATTACAAAACAATGTAAATTTAATTTTAGTTTTCTCGAACTATGGACTTTTACTTTTGGAGTTTTATAAAACAAAAAGTTTATAAAAACAGAATAAGGCATTTGGATGACTTAATGAATTACAAAAGACAAGCTTGTGCAGAGATTACTCCACAACGGGTAAATTATTTTTAAATTTAAGGAGAGGATTCGAAAAATGTGTTCGACTAGAAGGAGGTTTGGTGGAGAAAACTAAAACTTAATTTAGATTAACGTTTTGCAAATATTATTTTTATAATTAATTAATATAATTAAAAGTATTAAATTTATAGTGCCTGTATTTTTTCTTTGTCCGATTGGTATTTATTTTCACTTTTATGGCAATTTGTGACCTGTTTAATATAATTTTTAGTTGTCTGATTTTTCGAAGCTTGGTACCACATAAAAACACTTAATTTGTCGTTCAAATTTGATATATGGGTATTTTAATGGGTGTTGAATAGGCTGGTGATATTATCTTTTTAATAAAAAAATGCCTAATACTACTTTCTGGAAAAACGACCCTTTTAATCGTAATAGGCCAGGCTTTTGTTACATCAATAAAATGATTAGTAGAAAATAACCTCCCTTCAGGGTACTATTTGTAAAAAAATTGGTTTGCGGAAAGTCCACAAGCCTTCTCACATTTCCGAGGTGTTAACCTGAAAAACGGAACACACTGTATATTTTAATATTCTGAAAATAACGCAAAAAATTTCAAGGCACGTCTCCGCCGCCGGATATTGTTACAATATTTCCGATAATAACTTTATTGGCGTATTCTTTTCTTGAAGTTCTGTTCTATCAACAAATATTGTACCGACTGTAACTTGCGTAAGGAATATTACCATTGAACTTCTATTGTTCCTTCTAAAGTAAAGGACAGTATGAGAAGTTGTTGCGACAGTAACAATATTGAGTATCACCTAGAACTTTACATGTTTTCCAAAATGTTGCTTTCAAAATTTTATTAGAGCTATAATAAATTGAGTTTTTCGAAATTCGAGGGCACGAAGGGTTCGAGTAGCTATTGTTTGGCTAAAATTCTAGCGGCAAAATTTTTCGATTTGCATCCAATGAGTTGCTTCTACCAATCTGGCAACACTGGGACCAATCGCTATGAACATCGTCTAATGAACAACCGAAGTGAAAACTGGGAGAGTCGACTTGTAATTTCGAGTGACATTTTCGTGTCTCTTTTTTCAGATTATCAAGGCGGAAGTGGTTACGGCAATCAAAGAAGTTTCGACACTCAGGGCAACACCTACAGCAATTACAGTAACCAGGGCAACCAAGGCGGTTACTCGCGTGGGGGCGGCAACTTTAACAACTATAACAACCGTTACGGCAATTTCCAGCAAAACAGGAACCAGGACGAGCAGTCCAGGCGTCCCCCAGGGCCGTATCGGGACAGGTTCGAGAGTTCTAACCGTTACAACTACAGGAGATAGGTTTTAAACTTTTTACAAAACAACAAATAAATAATAAGAAATCTAAATCTGCCTCTTATTGCCTCTGGTGATTGTTTACAAATTTTTCGTGGACAAAATTTCGGGAAAATTCGCCGTAAACAATTACACAAAATCTTACCAAAGCAATTTGTTCGATTTAGTGGTACAGAGGTAGGTAGTTTTATTTTTTAATTAGATTTGCTAATATTGTTTTCTACGCTGGTTGATGGTTTAAAAATTATTTAGTTTGCAAAAATAACGAATTATTTTATCAGATGTTATACAGGGTGTTGGAATATTCCTTTTGTATATTCGAATTGCGTTCTTGGAAGTACACAGTAAAATAACCAGAATTAATTACATTTTTAAATAAAAATTTAAAGAGCCGTTTTGATTTTTCGTGGAATTAACCAATATGATTTTTTTTTATTTTTTAATGCAGTACAATTGGTAGAATATATTAACGAAATTACCCAACACTCGGTATGAATTCAGAGCCGACATTTGGCATTGTCATATGTGAATATCGGGCGTTCTATCGGGATGATAAATATTTATGTATGTTCGTTTAAAATAAAATATTGGTTTTAACAATGATTTGTACTTTTAGTTCTGTCACATAGGGTTGCTTATGTAGGTTGGCCACCCTAATAAGAGTAGCAGCATATATTTTATCAAAGAATTTTGTATAGTGTTTGCGTTTTAATAGATGTAAAAAAAATCAAATAAAATGGTGGTGACACTGACAATGCTTTTTTATTTTATCTGGAAAAATATTTTTAACTTGGAAAGGTCCCCATCAGAATTGAAGCATAAATATTGAATATGGGTAAGTAGCACCTTTTTCACTAGTAATTGATTACACATCGCTTACAGAAGTATTAAATGATATTTACTTGCTTAATATTTCCTGAATTTAAATTAAGGACCTGACTTTATTGTTAACTCGTCAAAATCACATTGGTAGAGGGAATAATTATATCGATGCATGTAATCGCCATGGTACCCTAGTCGCTCGAGGGTGCGGTGGCAAGCATTTCTCGGCCAGACTTCCTATTCTGGCCCGGGCTCGATCCCTGGTGTCGGCACTGGCAATATCGATGGATAATGGGTGTTTGTCCGCGTTTTTTCAAGTGTAGCCTGTTTCCGCACAGCCTTTGGCTTTGGATTTGGGGGGTTGTCTCATTTCTGTGGTGTTTTTTTATAATCTCACAAAAATCGTCATTGACGATTGGCATAACGCCACAAATCTAGCAAATATCTAGACTTCATCAGCTGCATATAGTTTCTTCACCGCAAATTCTTGGCCATCTTATTCGCTTTTCTTGCTTTTGGTGACGATCCATTAGAATATTTCAGAGACTACTTCGATTTCAATTTTGAAAAGTTAGACTTTGGGGGTTCCGGGGGTGCTTTCTTTAAATAAAATAATGTAATTGTTGTAGCACTTCCGATGGATATCTGGAAAACCGCTGGAAGGATTTTTTTGAAATTGTGATGGCGTGATACGGACCGTGGAGCCTACCAAGCTGAAATATTTTCAAGGTCATCGTACCGGAAGTCGATACTAACTTTCTTATTTTAAATGGAATCCCCTGTATTTTATTGCATTCTTGGAAAGAGCATCTATTTTTAAGTTGAAAACGTGTAACACTCTCCCATACTTAGGATTGACTGTTTCTGAGATATTATGTTTTTTAAGCAAAAATTGACAGATGCAGACTGTCAGCAAAATTTATTTTTCTCGGAAATATAGGTTTATTTTTTTGTGCAAATTGGACTTTTTGTAGAGGAAGACCTAATTTATCGAATTTGACATGAAAATCTTCCAGTTAAATTAAAGATTGACAACGAAATATTGTTCGAAAAAATAAACTTGTGTGGAGTCATTTTTATTAAAGCACTTTTAATTTTTTTATTCTTCCGAAAGTTTTCTCGCGTTTTAGATGTCAACTTTATTTATATGGAAGAAAACTTCCGGTGTTAACGAAATTTAAAATTCCCATTTTTATTAATTTGCAACGTTATTCCAACAAATTCCGAAGCTTCAGATTTCCGTTAAATTTGGTGCCGAGCAAACGAACAAGAAATAATGCATCGTAAACAATGGCGAATCAGTTCCGGTCCGCGACGATGGACCTCTGACGGTGTCTTGAGCACTCTTGTCTCGACTCCAAGAGTTCGCCGAGGGCCCCGTCCATTGTGGACTTATGCTAATGCCCTTTGTGCGCCACTAATATTACACTGCTAAGCACTTTTCGGGGTGACTTTTCGCTTGCTTTGAATTTTCGATTGGGCCGGGGGACGCTGGCGCGTTCGATAAGGGCTAGCTTTTTTTCTTTTTGATAATCATTTAAAACAGCGACTTCGGTGAATTCTACATTATTAAGAAAAACGGTTATATACACGTATTCTATGCAATGCTGTTGTTTAAAAAAGTTATATTTTTTGTATCGTTTTTCTTTTCAATCGTAGTCTTATTAGAGGTTAGATTAGATTTGTTATGTTTTTTTTTTTTGGTAAATAAAATGTATTTTATTATCAGCTGTCGCAATTTTACTTTATACTTTATGAAAATACATGTCTGACAATGAAATTGTTAAATAAAAATAATGTACTCTTCCAACAAAGTCTAACACAATTAGCCACTAATCACTAATCCACTAGAAAAATCTTTCTATTTTCATATTTTATTTAGGATTAATCGAGGGACTAATTCATTCTTCAGGAGACCTCTTTGTTAATGGAATTAATAAATATTAAGGAAACAAAATTACACACTTATATAAATACACCACAAACGGTCATTTTCAACTTCACGTTTTTCGTTATTACTGTTATTATAACTGTCAACTGTCAAATTTTTCTTTTCTGCGAAGGGATAAAAGGCGTGTTCGATTTTCTTTTTTCTGCGTTCGATATTTAAGGCAAGTTCGGTATTGACATCTAGAGGCTCTAGATGTATCTCTTTGTCTTTTCATCTCCTACAATTAGAAAAGAACAAAACACATGTGGAAACACGTCTAGATGTTAATACCGAACTTGCCTTTAGATAAAACGTCAAAAAGAGTAAAGCAAGTTGATCGAATAAATTGAAATAACTAGAAATTCTGAAAACTTCAAACTACCTCCACAATATCTCGAAATAACTGCAAATACATAACACAAGGGTCCGATAAAACGCCGACGGCGGGGAATAAGAAAACAGAATAATGCGAAGGGCAAAACAACACAAAACCAGGCGGGGGCGAGCCCGTGACAGCGGCAATTGGCAATTTGTCAGCAATTAAAACAAGACATCATTAAATCAGTAGAGCGGTGGCGAAATGGGCTTTGTCGGGTCACGTATGGCCCCTGCGAAACCACCCCCATGCTACCCGCACCCCCACGTCTCGACAGCTCGAGCTGATAGGACATGCACCGCTGTTTCCTTCCGGTCGTGTTTTTATCAACCCCATTTTTAGGGCGGATGGAAATTAGTTAGGCCGGTATGTGTACAGATTATTATTAAAATAATAGAGTTTTAAGGTTTCAAAACAAGTAAAAATTTATTGTTCGGAATCATAGTTCACTTAAGATATCACAAAATTAACATATTTCATAGTTTCTGTTCTTCCTCAATGGGGCAAGCAATGTATGGAGTCGTAAATAAATTGGATAAACAAATAAAATAGTAGTCAGTAATTTGCTCTTTTTATGTTGGACTTCTTTCTTTGAGATATATCAAAGGTACAATCAATACGATATATGTACATACAGGGTGATTCATTAACAATGGGAAAATCGAAAGCTGAAGATACTACACGTGAAATGGTGACCATTGGCGCAAACATGCCTTATCCGAATGTTGATAGTTTCGGAAATACAGGGTGTCGAAAGTTAAAATTTTAAAAATTTTTTGCGATTATTCTGAAAATATGTAGGTTAGGAACTTGAAAATTTGTGAAACTATATTTTTCTAAGCGACGAATAAGATGAGTGTTGTAATTTCAGCATTGCTCATAGAGGGCGCCACTTACGACCAATTTGACCGAAAATTTAGTTAATAACTTTTTACCCTGTATGTCTAACATGAAACTTGATTCAAGACCTGAAAGAGCAATCATTTTCTCATTGATTATATATTCTTGTTTCATTTCGATATCTCGATCCGTTTTCGAGAAAAATCGATTTAACGAACACTACGTCTTGATAATACGAGAAATTAAAAGCGAAACAAATCAAGTGTTTCTTCATGTTATTACAACAATTAACAACAAAACAAATAAAATACGTAATTATTATTTAAAGTAATTGTTCGAAGAATCCATACACTTTACACTACGTTTTCTGAGAGATCTTCGAGTTTGAAACAACATATTGGGATTGCGTCTGACTTCGTTGGTAGCAATTTGTATTCTTTGTCACAATTCTTCACGCGAATTATTTGTAAACTACATCTTTCATTCGAGACCAAATAGAAAAATCAAGAGGATTGAAGTCCGGACTTCTGGGTGGTCAAGCAAAAATGCTTACATGGCTAATCCAGCGATTTGGAAAAACTGCATCTTGCACGCACTGGCCGAGAAAAATGCGGTGGAGCTCCGTCGTGCATGAACCATAATGTCTCTTCTTAAATAAAGTGGAACTTCTTCAAGCCGTGGAAGCGTTTTTGCTTGGCCACCCAGAAGTCCGGACTTCAATCCTCTTGATTTTTCTATCTGGTCTCGAATGAAAGATATAGTTTACAAATAATCTATTGGTTTGCGTGAGAGCAAAGAATACAAATCGCTGACAACGAAGTCAAATGCAATCCCAATATGTTGTTTCAAACTTGAAGATCTCTCAGAAAAGTATAAAGTGCCAACGGTGGATTCGTCGAATAATTACTTTAAATCATTATTACGAATTTCATTTGTTTTATTAGATACAATTTAAAATTTTAACTTTCAACACCCTATCACTATTTCACGTGTAGTATCTCAGCTTTCGATTTTCCCATTGTTAATGAATCACCCTGTATAAAGTACGTCAAATCAAAAAAAATATATAGAGGGAGAAACTGAATTTTGAAGGGTAAGTACTCCCCAAACATTATGTATTAATAAAAATGTTTGAAAGTGATATAACAAATGCCTGGAGACTTGAGAAAAAAATCTGAAAAATTTGAAGTTAAGCCTGCCATTTTTCGTGGATTATGTCATTATTAGTAATTTTTTATCTGTAATTATGATTATTATTAAGTGGCTCATCCATTTAAATTAAAAATTATTGTTTAGTTTGGATCGAATAATTTATCATTTTATAACTTTATTATTAATTTATTCATTATTCTATACAAGAGGTAATTCAGGTTTATATCTGGATAACTTCAGGAAACGATGGAACAGGTTAAAATAATGTTCATTCATGATATAAACTTATTTCCTAAATCGCATCCTTTCGGAGATAGAGGGCGTTGAAGTAGGAATTTTTTCTCGTTTTTCTCTCATAACTCTCCATAGAATGGGCGTTTTCACATATACCGATACCGACACCGACACGACATCAGCACAGCACCGATACCGACACAAAATCAGCGACGACGCGAGTGGAGTAGCTTGTCACGACACGATACCGATGGATCGGCGAAGACATGACCATTTATTTATATGAGATTACGCATCCACCGGCATCGTTGTCGTTGTCGTGCTGGTGTCGTGTCGGCCAGTGTGAAAACGGCCTATGATTGGGCCAAAAATTGCTTTAAAAATGGATATTATGAACATTT